GGTTGGCGGTTGTCCGTCGGTTGGAGGAGGGCTGTGTCCGGGATGGGAGAGCGGGCAGCGGGGTGGTCCCTGTCAGTGCAGGGCGTTGGCAGGGCTGCTACCACGTGAAAAGTAGCTGTAGAGCAGTTGCCCCTTTTCTAGCATTAACTTTTTCCAGTCGGGCCAACACTTTTAGAGCTTGGCCCTCACTTTGTGAATAGGGCCACCTGCGCATGTTGCGCGGCTGCCCTGTGAGTTGTGCAACGTGCGTAATGTGTGGCAGGGGCTGTGGTGGCGGGTGCAAGCACAAAAGCAGATGTGGCTACAGAGCTTAGCGGAAAGGAGAACACTAGTTTGACACCCCTGCCAAGCAGAGCCAAAGGTGCGTGGGGTGAGGTGAGGTGAGCTGTCGTGCCCCTGGTAGGGGTGCCAACCCTCCAGGATTACCCTGGAGTCTAAGAATTAGATATAATCTCCAGGAGACTGCTGAGAGTCACCAGGGAGATAAATGATAGGGCGTTCATTAAAATAAATGTTAAATGTTGAATCCATTTGGTACAGTAGTCCAGTGGGTTTTTAAAATGTAATAGTAATGGGCATTTGCCTTCCTGAGTACAGTACAGTAGATCAGTCATTAATGTCATTATATCATGTGATGAAACCTCCCAGAATAGATTCAAACACAGTTGGCATCCCTAGGCTCTGGGCTGAGGCTCCAGGAACCTGGCTGTGGTGTGAAGAGTCCCTGCCTCTTCGTGCACTCTGCTGGGTCAGCCCACAGGAGTGCGAGGAGTGGGGCTGTGCTGTAGGCAAGCACTGGAGGGTTTCCACCATGGGATGACAGGCCCCTCTCCTGCCTGTCAGCCGATTGGCAGGGTGCTGGTGTATTTTCTTGGGGTTGGAATCCTCCCCAGCTGGCTCTGCTGCTTGACAGCCTGTCCCCTTCCCAAACTGTACAGTCCATGTCTTGGACTATTTTTCCTACCAGAAAACATTTTTCTGGTAGGAAAAGTAGTCCAGACGTTTATACAGGCCAGTTGTTTGTACATTCCAGATGACCAGTTTGTATAGTCCAGACATATGTTTCTACCAGAAAACATTTTTTCTGGTAGAAACAAATGTCTGTACACAGCTAGGGGCAGTTCAGGTTCCACTCCATGGGACCTTGTAGACCAGTGGTCTTCGACCTTGTTACATTTGCAGACCCCTAAAAAATTTCGAATGGGGGTACGGACCCCTTTGAGTTGTAAGTGTATTCAGACATTTTTGACTGATTGGAGTCCTCTTTTGTGGACTCCTTAGATGTAGTCTACGGGCCCCCAGGGTCTGAGTATCGCGGGTTGAAAAACACCGTTGTAGCCTATAGAGGAAGAAAGGTCCTATCAGAGGTGTAACTCAGGAGTTGAGAGAAGTAGAAGCCAAAAAGGAAAGTCATCAGTGTCAGCTTAGCATCACCATTGGTCAAAAGTCAAGGGAGCACATATTTGGAGGAATTTTTGATCTGCAATGTCAAAAGCAGCTCAAGGACAGTGAAATCCTGAGTCCTTAGCTGAGCAGTATTCATTGCTACTAGATGCACACAATTTGGACTGCAATATTACAGTCTGATATTTAATTTTTAAAATGTTTCTTGCTATGAACAGTATTTAATAGCTCTAGGTTGTGATTTAGGTGTGCACTGCTGTCATAAGCATAAATAGAATTCGAAGAAGGAGGGGGGGAAACTTGACGTTGAAAGATAAATTTTAACTAAACAACAACAATGTTTTGATAGCCTGGTATAATGCAAATGATACTCTACCATCTTCAGCCATAAACAATATAGAGCTGTTCTGAAGAAAGAGAAAAGAAAGAAAAGGAGACAAGCACTAGCCAGATTGAGAGATTCCGGTAAGAACCGTATTACTTTTGTTGCAATTTTATACGGGTATGCTATTTTATTTTCTTATGAAGACAATGGGAAGGAACGCTAACGTGTTACAGCATCGAAGGAGACTATTGTGTAGTTTAATCAGTGTTCTAGAAGAGTAAGAATTTTTGAAGTAGAAACTTTCTTTAGAAGATATGATTCTGTCATGCACTTAGAAAATACAGTGTGAGATCACTTAGAATCGTGTAGTAAAATTTCTCGAGGTTAGTTTTTTTTCGTATTAAAGAGTCTTAAGCTTTTTATCTACACTGTTTACATTTATGCATGAGTACCTCCGGATAGAAGGAAACTGAAAAACTCTAGTAAAAACTCCAGTTTGGAAAGTTTATATTACATAAGTTATTTTCTACCGTCTTATTACACTATGGTAAAACCAAAGAGAAAAAATTGTATTTTAGCTCTGTGTACAAGAACCTATTTCTTTTCTTTCAGAAATCACAGAAAAAGATGAAACAGTGCCTGATGAGGAAGAACTAGAAGAAGAGGAAAAAAAGCTTGATGCTGAAAGGTGAATATTCTAAAATTTAAGTATCTGCAGTAGATGCATTATTTTGTATGTTACTCATTTTACATAATGATGAAAGTATACATTTTGTAATTCAAATTCTATTTTTTTTCATATTAAGCACTGTACACTCAAATTTCCCTGAATGCCTCACTTTGGACCCACTTGAGCTTGCTATTCAGAAGAATTTAAGGGTGTGGACAGAAGCGCAGCTCTCACCTGTAACTCAGAACAATGTTTGCAAAGTGTTTTGAATTACAGTGTTACCCCAGACCAAACAAAAGTTCACTGTTAGTTCCAGGTGGGAGGGGAATCTAGCTGCTGCTGGGAGACTGCAGCCAGGTTCCCATAGCAATGGCCAGGGCTCTCTGCTAGTTTTTGCTGTTTTCTGAATGGGAGGGGGAAAGGCAGCAGAGGGTATAGTGGGCAAACTGAGTTATGCTAAACTTCTTAACCATAGTCTAGGCCAGGGGTAGACAACGTTTTTTGGCCAGAGGGCTGAAAACCCCTACAATGCCTACCTTGGAAGGTGCCGGGGTGCTAGCATACCAGAAAAACAAAATGAGGGCAGGGGATACATGGCAGGATGCCCTATTTATGCCCCTTGCCCCCCAGCCCTGCTCATGGCCCCTGCCCCCCAGCCCAGGCTCTGTGGCTGTCAGCAGCTACCCAGACCCTGGGCCAGCAGCAAACCTTTGCTGCCTCTCCGCCCCAGCCCCAGGCTCCAGGGAGGCAGCACATACCAGTACTGCTCCCCGCTGTGCTGTCCTCGCCACTTCTGCAAAGCAGCATTGGAACCTGGCATGGCAGGGTACAGTAGGGGACACAGAAAACTGCCTGCTTCGAGCTCCCCGCTGCCGTGCCACACTTCCCCTGTGTGCACAGGAGCAGCGTGGTCAGCAGCGCAGGGTTGTGCCCCCTCGCTGCTGCCCCCACCTGCAGGGTAAGTGTGGCAGGGCAGTGGAGAGCTGGGAGCAGGCAGCTTTCTGCGTCTCCCACTGTGTCCTGCCACGCCTGGTTCCAGTGCTGCTTTGCAGAAGTGGCAAGGGCAGCACAGCGGGGAGCATTGCCAGTATGTGCTGCCTCCCCAGAGCCTGGGGCCGGGGCTGGGGCAGAGAGACAGCAGATATTTGCAGCTGGCCCAGGTTCTGGGTAGCTGCTGATAGCCACAGAGCCTGGGCTGCTTGCAGCAGGGCTTCCATGCGATCAGCCTGGGCTCTGTGGCTGCAGCTACCCAGAGCTGGGGCCAGCTGCAGCCAGGAGGTTACAAATAGCTGCTGCCCTCCTGCCTCGGCCCTGGTCCTAGCTGTCTCCCAGCCCTGGGCTCCGGAAAGGCAGCAGGTGCCGGCACTGCGCCCATTGGGGCCGGGGTCGGGGAGGCAGCAGCTGTTTGTAGCCAGCCCCGGCTCTGGGTAGCTGCTGATAGCCACGGAGCCTGGGCTGCTCCCAGCAGGGCTTGCAGCATCCCAGCTGCCTGTTGGGAGCAGACCTGGCTCCCAGCTGGCACCAGCTACCCAGAACTGGGGCCAGCTGCAGCCAGGAGGCTGCAAACAGCTGCTGCCTTCCTGGCTGCAGCGCGTGCTGAGGAAAATGGCCTCATGTACCATGCTCGGCACGTGTGCTGGGGGTTGCCGACCTCTGGTCTAGGCCTTCCCAGAACTAACCAATAAAATTGTACAAATTGTCTTATAAGGCAGTGGAAAAAGTAAGTGCTCTGATTGGTACGGTGGGCAAACCAGGTACAATAGGTTCTGCAAAAGGAAATGAAACCAAAAACTAAGTAGAATTGGAGTACTTGATCTAAAAGGATAAGGCATGGAACCTGAGGATTAAACAATTTGGGATGGGAAAGTTACAAAAGTGATGGACAAACAAAGGGGAAAGCATGTGTTTGTGCTGTTACTCTGGGGAGACAGGGGTAGCCATGGACTTTTCACTCAAATAGCTAAAAAGCCAGGAACAAACATTCCATACACCCAGCAGAGGCGGCGAGGCTGATACCACTAAAGGTTGTTGCTGTGCCGTCTAAAGGAGCCACTTGCCAGGTCGGATTACAGGGAGGAAACCTGCTTAGGGGTTACTGTTAAAGTTCACTGCATACCAGATTGGATGAGGAGCTGTGTCAATCCTTGGGGGTCTCTGGCAGAAAGAATCCTATTGGTAACAGAGGGAGCTCATCCTCGGGGCTTCTCAGCTGGTGGTGAAGGGTGGGGTGGGTAAATTGGAGCCCTCCCCACTTCAGGGAGGCTCCAATACTCCCACTTCACATTCCATCAGGGCTGAAAATCCCTCAGACTGAACTCCCTCTGCTCCCTTTCCCACCCTCCCATTCTGAAAACAGCAACAGGGTGGGAACTATCCAGACATGGGTTACAAAAGACGCTATATTTTGAAATCTCTATCTGATACCTCATGCAATGAGATTTTCATCTGATTGGCTATTTTTAAGCTGTTTGCAGTTGTGCACTTGTGCTTGGTTACAGCTATAAACTGCTTTCTGTGGCCAGATAGGGTGCAGACAGAAGTGACAATTTTTGCCCAAGGTAAATTCTACACTATACTACATTACACTAAAGGCTGAGTAGTAACTTTATATGCAATATTTTAACCATTATCGTTGAACTAGAAAAGTATAAATTAAGTTTGGGTGTTTGTGAGAACATATGACTAGCTATTGGATAACATGCAAATTGGCCGTATTATATTTAATCCAATATAGAAATAATATTGGAATTGGCAGTATCCCAGAAACTTGTAATCTGGCAACAAAATAAACATTGGTCAAATTGTGTATTTTTCTAGAATGACGATTGCACTTCAGCATTGAAGAATTATATGTTTGGGGAAATATGTTGAGAGGTGGTTTTTTTTAATATTCTGCTTCAAAGGAGTAAAACCAAGTTTAGTAAACCTATTTTGCATGATAGATAAAATGTGTACATTTATAGACATTAATTTTGATAACTAGCTTCCTATTTTATTGGTAGGCAAAAACTACACGAGGAGTGGTTGTTGAGAGAAGAAAAGGCTCAAGAAGAGTTTAAGATCAAGAAGGAAAAGGAAGAGGCAGCAAGAAGACGTCAAGAAGAGGAGGAGGTGAAATATAAATTGAAGACCATTTTTAAGTGTGCCATAGTGTCGTCCAAAGCCAAGGGAAATTGTTAATATCTGTTTTGGTACTGGAGCAGACAAAGCGCTCTTGAAGTAGATTGTTTTTAATTTGTAATATCTCTCTTTTTTTTTTTAATATTGATTTTTAAAAAAAATACCCAAAGCTTTGGATTTCCTTTATATATCTGAACTCTAAAAGCAAGAGTTTCATCTCATAACAGAGTTGATGATTTTGGATTTATCTGTGGTCTTCTCATTCATTTACAATATGTTTTTTGAAAGACTTCATAAAGCATTTATTTATTTAATCTTTTAACAAGAAAATAAGCACTCTTTCTTTTTTTTATGAAGAGAAAGATCAGAGAAGAATGGGAAGAACAGCAGAGGAAAGAGAGAGAAGAGAAGGAGCAGAAACAACAGGAGAAAAGAGAGAGAGAGGTGATTCCTGCATTGGGAGGATAAACACACTGCATATCCTCTCACAGTACCACATGTAACATTCTGCAATTGTGTACCAATGTCAAAATCCAGTTAGCCTTTTTGCATCTGCTAAGTATTTCCAGTCCCCATTTGTTTATTTCTAATTAACAAATTCTTTCTGAGACCTGAAAATATATCTTGGATTCATAATAGTGTAATCTGAATCCATGATGCTGGAGAAGATAATTAATTTACTATAAGATTAGTCTTTTAGTTTGTGTAGCAATGTACAGCTAATTGTGTAGCTAATTATCTCTTATGTAATTATTTTCATTAGGCAAATACGAAGGTCTGTTGTCAGTGCTATTTTTCACATGCGTGCTTACCATGTGATATATTAAAGACCAATTTATCCTAGTATTAGAAGTGTTCCCTATAAGACATCTGAACAAGCTTAGTATAATTATTTTTAAGGAAGTTCCTGGTGCTGATCTAGAATTGTATTGCTGCTGTTCCTTAACAGTGTTCTTAATCAAAAGATGTTACAGCTCCTCTTTACCTGGCTCATTCATCAGGATGTATCTTTTTTCATAAATTCTGGGGTATGGAAGAAAACAATGTGGAAAAGTGCTATTAGTTGTACAGTTACATAAAAAATGCTAGAGGATATGGCTAGATTACAGACAAAGATCTGTCCTGAATTTCTTCCTACAAAGTGACAAAGTTAGGGTTGACCCTTCTCATGGAGGGGAAGGTGGTCGCAACTTTTTAGAGTCTCTCTCTTTCATTTCAGCTTTTTTAGCAGCAAAAGGTGGAAACTGAATAAATTCTAGTCAGTTTCATTCTCACCATCTTTACCAGAGAGAAAACATGATCCAATACTCCTTTTACTCTAAGTAATGCCAGCAGGGAGGCAGAAATGAGCTAGCAATTTTCACATTTCAGTTTAATAGCCGAAGAGGCTAGTTACATTGTTATACCTTCAGTAAAAGCAGGGGAGTAGTACTGACAGGCAAGATCAGTCTCCTTCTGGTTCGACTGAGGAAGGGATACCAAGGTACAAATATAATCATCTGGGTCAAGGGCAACTGGAAAAATAAAGTGAGAGAGAAGGAAAGGGACAAGAAAGATGGAAGGAGTCTAATGCAAATTAATGGAAAGAATTAAGGTAATAGAAGGAACCAAGAGGGTTGGTTGGACATGGTTTAGTTTAGTAGTCAGCACTTAATATGCTAGGGTGGGATTTGTGTGCTGTGTTGACTGACTACAAAAGCATTCCTTGGAGTGAGAGTTTCTATGATGTTTTACTACAGCTGTTACACAAAACCTACAAGGTGAAGATGGGAGAGACTGAAATGTAGAACAGGAAGAATGGAATGTGAAGTAAAGGGGTAGCAAGTGATGGAAAAGGCGTGTAAGCTGTGAATTCCCCAAGCTAGTAGAGAGTAGGGAAGAGACCCAGAAAGCAGGAATAGTGTGGTGTGCTTAAAATTAAGGGGAATGCCAATTTATTTTGTTGAGTAGCATGAATGAATTACTAGCTAACAATATGTTCTGTTATCTAGCTTGTTAGCCCTGGCTGGTATCCTGTGGACAGTGTTTGGTCAAATGGTGTAGGCTCTACTATGGATGTAAGAATGGCAGCATCCATATGAGCAGATAGGAAGTTAGGCAAAGCCAAAATGTGAGAGTAGCAGCTAGGAAAAGCCAGAATTTAATGTCTGCAGTATTTATTAGTATTGAAAATGTAGTTTAAACTTGAATGGCCACTTGTCCATTCCATTTCAGCTTTATACCTGTAAAACCTTGTACCAGGGAAGTCTAAGTGTGTAAAGTAGCATAGTTCAGTGACAGCAAAAAGAGAAAACATTGCTCGTTTCAAATGTAGCTTTTTAAAGTGCTCTAATGTTTAGATATTAGAAAACTCTTGCTTGGAAGTCATCTAAGATGTATCCTTTAACTGCAAAAGTGTGTGAGGTACCACAAAGTAAACAACTATAAATGTTCAGTTTTATAAGTAAACTGCCAAGTTGTATGATCATTAAATGTTGCCAGTTAGGTTCTTAACTAAAGAAACCAGATGAGTTACCTGTCTTCAGGGTTTTCACTAGTCCTGTGTTTGCACCATTTGTAGGAAGCTGTGCAGAAGATGCTGGATCAAGCTGAAAGTCAGGTATGTTCAGAGACTTTCCAATAAAGAGCTAAAGTGGCTTCGTTACCATCTGTTTTTTGTCTTTTAACAAGCTGTCCATGTGCTCTGAAAAAGCTAGTGACTGTCTCAATTTAACGTGGTTAAATGGTGTCTCTTAGCCATAAACAATGCATCTATTAGCTGAAATAGAATTAAACACATTTCTGGCCATTTGATAGCATTGCAGCTCTAAGTGTTTGTCGCATAGGAGACTTCTATATAGAATGACTTTAGGATTTTGCTATTTTTGTCACTGAAGACAAGCTATGACTATGTATTTGTGACTAAATATACTACATAAATCTGTTAGTTTTTCTGCCTGGCAGGTTGCTTCATTTTTTTAGCAGATAGTAAGTTTTTGAATAAATGTGCTCTGAATCAGGAGAGAACACATATCCCAAAATAGGGCGGGAGCTTCTTGTGTGTGTCGAGAAGCACAGATCTCAAACTAGCCTAACAGTAAGAAAATCATGATACCTGCATTCAGCATTTCCCTGGCTTTAAAGAAAACTTAACCTATTTTTAATTTAGCCCAGCAGTTATCTTCAAAAGGTTCTTGCTCTGAATAAACCGTTGAATAGTTTTGAATATTAAACTCCATTATAGCTAGCTATTTTTGGTCAACTGCTGTTACTCTAATAGAGCTAGTATTGGATTCTTAATTACATTTAGCAGGAGGGCTCCATTTATGATGGCAAAATCTGGATGGAAAACTGCTTTGACTGTTGTCATCATGTGGAGCACAAAATATATGTAGCCATTTCTTTATATATAAAACATGGTGTGTAAGTTTTACATTAAAAAAATATAAAGGGCTCGGTTGGTCAGTTCCACCACTGATGAAACCACCAATAGTATTTCCCCCTAAAAAAAAAGTGGCAGTCATTGCTAACCATGGCTTAAGCACCAGTGGCAAATTATTGAAATATTTAGTTTATGTAATGTGAGGAGTATTGCTTTCTCAGCCTTTCCAAATTGCCTGGTTAATCAACCTAGGTGATATTCTTTTTAAGTGCAATTCCAGCTTTGGCTCTTGTCAAAAAATGCACCTAACTTTCTTATTGAATTTCAAAAATCTGAATGCTGAGACTAGGATTTGGAAATTCCTGAGTTTTAATTTGGCATACCCTTTTTTGTACAGTTGCTTTAGTTACCTTACCTTCACCTTTCCCCTCATGTCACTTTTCCTATCTATGTACATGTACTTATTTATATATTTTACATGGCAGTTGTGAGGAAAATGTTTAAGGTTCCAGTCTTGTTCCTGCCAAAAATGCATTCTATGCAGCATGGGAGTGGAGCGTGCAAAAGTGGCATTAGCCCTTGTTTTAGTTTCTTGAACCTGGGATTACTGCACATTGATCCAGCTCTGTTCCTTGAGGATTCCGCCATGTTGGAAGGGTCTCACAGTTCACTACATTAGTGCAGCACATCTATCCAAATTCCAGAAAGGTCTGTGTTTGTAGCTTCTTCAAGGATAAAAATCAGATGCACGGGCCAAGTATTTATAATTGCTTATTATTGTAAAGGCTTAAACCATCCTTGACTCTAGCAAGTTGGTATATTACATTGGCAGTCTCGGCACACATTGGCGTAATTTTGAGAGTTTCAGAAGTCATTTTCATGAGTGATCAAGAAGAGCCCTTTTCAGCTAGATTGGAAGCGTTTGAATTTTAATAAAGTGACATTTCAGATCCTTGGTTCTAGCTTGTTTTTCTGTGTCAAAGGTGATCATTTAAAAATACCTAAGGACTGAATTGGCATTCTTGGCTTTTTACTATTTTTTGCTTTGTTGAAGTAATTGTATTTCATGGTGTTTTTATGCAGTTGGAAAATGGTGCTACGTGGCATAATCCAGAACCCCCAGAGAACATAGGAACAGAGAAAGATAGAGCTAATTGTCCCTTCTATATTAAAACAGGAGCCTGCAGATTTGGAGACAGGTAACTGCTTGAATATTGATTGAATCATGTCATTTGGGGAATCGGGTTCTTCAGGATGTCTTTTGGGGTCAGGCTAGATGATCTGTTCAGGTCCCTCCTGACCCTAGCTACTATGAAACTATGGGTTCGTGATCAAATAATTTTCTTACTATTTTTGGATTGGATTCTTTTTTGTATAGGGCTGTATGTTGACACTAATGTATTTTCAAAATTGGGCTATTTTTTATTTGTTTTTATTAGAACTACTAATAGTATATTATTGTTCTCACTTTGATCTAACTCACTTTGATTCAGCAGAAGCACTGGCACTGATAATTTTTCCATAAGACTACATGTAGTTGCTGTTGTTGCAGCTCTGAGGAAACAGATTGGAATCTGTCTTCCTTCTCCTCCTCCCTCCCCCAATTAATATGCATACATTGCACTCAAAATAAAGGGTTACAAAAGCAAGGTAGTATGTAGTATCATTGGTCAATTAGTTGTCACTTTCAAGTATCTTTTTACTGTTTATATAGTCATTGAGAACCACAAAGTCTGTTTAATCAAATATCCTTTGTCTGTATTGGATGTTTTAGAGAGATATACAACATATTCAATTATGGACAGTCGTGTGATGATGATTTATCTGGCAGAGTTTCTTCCGATGCTTGACAGTGGCTAAATTCTGGAAGTAGAGAGTCCCTATTACTCATGTCTCCTTACTTGAACTCTTTCAACTGTAGATGATGGTTTTACTATTCAAATAACAGTTTTTCAAGCCTTTATAATCCATAGCTTTTTGTCATAACAGGTTCTGAGTTTATTATGAATTGTACAAACATCAGTTTTAACATTTAAGCTGCTACCTGGGAATTGTTTTCTTTTTGTATTAAGAGACAAGGAAAATAAAGCTGCCTGGTTCTCATCTAAACTTTTACCCATTCCCTCTGAAACCTTTAGGTGCCTTGAATCACACTTTATTGCATTTTCTTGGACCTCTTCTGACAGACACCATATAAATACAAAATGAATATAGTACATAAGAGGCCAGTGGGATGTTCTGCTTTATGTTGTCACATAAATGGAAAGGCAACAACCTGTAGAATTCACTGTCTAGATCTTGAGTTTTTAGAGCTTATTGGGACAGACTTATTTATTTTCCTTATGCTTTTACAGTAGATCATTTATAAATTCTCCTGCCGTAGTGTATAAGTCAATAACAAACTGCTTGGGATTGGGAAGACATTTTCAGATGAGTAGACTAATCTGTTGTTATCCATTACAGTGTTTGGGCCTTCCTCTAAAACATTTAGATAAGGTACTAAACTAGATAGGTTTGCTGGTGTGATAGATGTAATAATTACATGCCTATACCTTGAACAGGTCGGCCTACTTTATTTATAATAAGCTTTCTCTATATTCTGATTTGTTTTTCTATTTGGTTTAGCAGAGGTAACAATTTGAGTGTGTTGTATTGTAGTTCGTCTTGTCAGTGCTATGCTGCCCAACATAGCACTGTACACTTTGTAGAGTTCTTGACCTGAGTAAAATATAGGTGGGCATTTGAACCCATGGCTTTAAAACAGAGTAAAGTCCTTCTCTTGTGCAGAAACTAGCCGGGGTGTTTTACTGAATTTTAGGCTGTTTTGGTTTAGCCCTGTGTTGCAGCATCTGAGAACAGTTTGAAGATGAACATCAACACACACAATCTATTTTTCCTTTTACAGCCAGTAACAGGGAAGTCTGATTTTAGTGCAGTCATTTGTAAAATTTTGCACTCCCACAGCCATAAGACTAGGGGCTGAATTTCCTTTCGAGTAGGAAGAAAGTAATATTAGAAAGTATCTAACTGTCTAAGGGATAATGGGGACTTCATACCTTACAAGAGCCATAGCGCTAATTCTGTAAGAGACTTAAACTGGACATTTTCCTTCCAGAATAGTAACCAGTGAGGGTTGCTGGGCTAGACTGGGCCATGCCGGAGCCAGTGTACAGGGCCAGTTTTGCACAGCACTGTATGCAGTGTGTGCCCCATGCTAGCATCCTGTGCCGTGTGCAACATGTGCCAGTCCTGCTCTGTATGTAGTGCATGGGGCACAAGCTGCATGGGGTGCCTCTCCATACCAGTCTTGAGCGCTGGCTTTGGGGCTAGTATGGATTGGGTCCCATTTAAAAATATTTTCTTGTAATTTAGAGCTGTTACTAGATCTAGGAATAAAAAATGTTTGCGATTTTGCAGGTGTAGCTTTTGCTGAAAGATTAATTGTATTTTGGGTGTTTTTTTTAATCAAAAATGTGCAGGTGTTCCCGCAAACATAACTACCCAACATCTAGTCAGACACTTCTCATTAGAGGTATGTTTATTACCTTTGGGATGGAGCAGTGTAGAAGAGATGACTACGATACAGATGCAAGTCTTGAGTACAGTGAGGAGGAAACCTACCAGCAGTTCTTGGAGTTCTATGAAGATGTACTCCCTGAGTTTAAGAGTGTTGGAAAGGTTATTCAGTTCAAGGTAAGCAATAATAATACAGTTATGCACCGTGGGGAATGATGTAATTATGCCTCCCACACAATTTTGCCCATAAAAAGCATGACTGTACATAATTGCATAATTTTGCATAATTTAACTGTGGTTGGCTCTGTGCCTCCCACTTCCGTGATGTGGAGGCACAGAACTGCACAACTGGATGGCTGGGTAAGTGGGAAGGGGAGCTCCTGCCTGCAGGAGGGAGTGGAGCCGTGGGGTTTTTGGGTGGGCATGGGGGTGTGCGTGTGTGGCTGTGGGGTTTGTGGGTATAAGCCACGTGCTGCCAGGTCAGGTTGGCTGGCCCCATGCCTCCACATGGGGCTTCCGGGACTCCAGGAGGAAGCTGCATGTAGAAGCACAGAGCCTGCCCAGCCTGATGGCATGTGACTCCATGCATCCATGTGTGGCTTCCTGCTAGAGTGCTAGAAGCCCCACGTAAAGGGCTGGCCTGGCCCATAGCGCATGGACCAGGAGCTGTGTGCCATTGGGTCAGGCGGGAAGCTGTACATGGAGGCACGGAATCGCACACTTATCGGGCTGGGTGGGCTTCTGCTTGCCTCTACATGCGGCTTCCTGCTGGAGTGCTGGAAGCCCCATGTTTTGGCACAGAGCCCACCTGACCGAATGGTGCGTGGCTCCCAGTCTATATGCCATTGGGCCAAGCCAGCTGGCTCCGTGCCTCCACGTGGGGCTTCCAGCACTGCAGTGGGAAGCTGCACATGGAGGCACGAACACTGCCTGGCCCGATGACACATGGCTTTCACCTGCAGTGCCATAAGTCCCACTTGTTGGCACAGCCAGCCTGGTCTGGTTTGAAGGTATGTCAGTGGGCCAGGCCAACTCCATGCTAGCACATGCAGGCCCTGGGACTCATCCAGAGGCGTGTGCCACTGGGGGCTCTGCTTGTCACAGCCATGAGCACCCCGAGGGTCTGCTGCTGGCTGCTGCTGAGCCAGCGGTGGCAGGGACTGTGCATCATGGGGGGAGGGGATGTGTGGTGGTGTTTCATGGGTTCACCCACCTACAAACTACCCCCCCCCCCTTCCCCCTTTGCAATCTCCCCCACAAACCCTGCACCAGTCCACAAATGCCACACACACCCATACCCCCCCACTCACTCCCCAACCATATAAGGTACCTGCATATATTTCTAAAGAAAGTTCAAATAGTGTTATATTATTTATTTTGTTTTGGGTTTTTTTTAACAAATTAAAGTAATTTTGCATAATTTGGAATTTTTTATACATAATCTTAAATTTTTCTGTGCATAATTCCCTGGGGTGTAGATCATTGTCACTCTAACATAAATCTCTCTTTTGCTAGTGTGTGTTTCCATTGTGGAATACATCGTAGCTTAGTTTAATGTGCATTCAAAAGATTATACAGTTTCTTTAACTCAAAATACATACATCTCGGGTCATTTGTAAGCTAATTTCATTGCCATCATAGCGGATTGTACTTTAAATAATGCTTGTGCCCATAATTTCTCTTAAATAATGGGCTTGTCATGTGTAGCTAAAATTACCTTCTTCAGCAATCTTACTGACCCCTTCTTACTAAGCTTTTGATCAGTCTTGTATACTGAGTTTGTTATGGGAAGTCTTAGAAATTTTTACCAGTTGTGTACTAGTTCAAGGACTAAGCTCAAAGAATTTCATATAACAATGAAACATTTTTTTTCTGTTGAGTGTCATCTGAATGGCCAGGCTTCTGGGAGAGGGTATCATGTTGGGAGGTAGGAATTAGGGGTCTGACTAAATAAGATTTAAATACTAGCTTCCCAACCTGAGTGTCAGAGTTCAACACTAGTAATAATGGGCTGTTTTATGTGTTTTGTGTTAAGTTCTGTGTAGAGATCTAGTTACTCATGTTCTAATATTACATGTTAAAGCTACGTTAACCCCCCCCAGCCCCAGGTTAGACATTGGAAAGATAAGAAATACATGAGTTAGAGTGGTTTGTGCAATACAGGCTTGTTACCTGTGTATACATTGTTTCTATCTAAACATGGAAGGGGCCTTCTGGGTTAGTGAATCCTGTCCCCTGTTATCACAAGCAACTGTATCATGACTTTCATAAGCTGATCCAGTTTTGAGAAACAGTCAGGCTTCTTATTCTTATTGCTGTGTGTAAGGCTGTTCTAGAAGCACACTTCTCAGATAGCTGGTAACTTCCTTCTTGCTTCCTACTTAAATTGATATATGGCCAGTTCACGTCCACTTGTTCTTGGGCCAACACTTGTGTTCTTTTGCTTAACATAGCTCTCTTCCCTCATTAAGCTTTATATTGCTAAAGTAAATGATCACATATAATTTATACCATGGTAGCCCTACCTCATTCATTGCCTAGACTAATCCTGCTTTGGGGATAAATGAGGTTTGGTTAGTGAAGCAAGCCCATCCAGTAGGGAGGACCCCTGCTTCATTTGTTGCAGAAGTGGGAAGGCACATAGAGAAGCTGAGGCTTGCTGGAAGGAGGAGTGTGCTCACCGTTAAAGCAACAGTTGTGGCGTTGGAGAAACTGAATTGTATCCTTGTCCTTCCATGAGTTCTTCTTCTGAGACCTTAACAAGTAACATAGACTTTTGTGTTGACAAAAATACTGATTACTCATAGCTGCAATGTTTAGGTGAGTGGCAATGGCGATTTGAATTTTATGCTTTTTATATGGTGGGTTAACCATGCCTGTTGTAAAGTATCTTTATTTCTTCTTAGATAAGGCTTTGTTTACACTACAGAGCTTATCCAGTGTAGCCATGTCAGTTAGGGTTGTAAAGAGATCCCTCCTCCCTATGCAGCATAGTTCTGACAGCAAATTCCCAAATGTGAACACAGCTTTGATCGCAGAAGGCAGGTTTTGCCCGCAGAGCTACTGTTATTCGGGGGAGTGGTGTGTAAACGGAAAAAATTTATGCTAGCAAAGCTACATCCATATGTGGGACACAGCTGTCTTGGTGCTGTTAGGTTTTAAAGTGGCTCACTGTGTAGACATAGCCTGAGCATTCTCTTCCAAAATCCGCAATTCGTGCTTAGCAATCACTTCAAAGTAGACAGTATTTCTTAAAGGACTGTGCTTCCTGAGTTTGTACACTTCAGGTGAGTTGGCTTTTGTTGTTTCCACAACAAAATTTTCTGGAATTTCATACCATTTGTCTAACAAAGAATCATTTAGAGCCAGCCTTTTCTGTTCTGTTACTTGTTGCTGTCTTTGTTTTTCTCTCATTATTTATTCTCCCGTTTCTGTTGTCAGTGAGTGCTACTGGTGTCAGATGATGAACAAGTAGTCCTAGTAGCACTTCCAGTGTTGAATTTTAATAAGTGCTATTAGCTATTTAAAAGTGCAGCTGGTATTGAACGCCTCTAGTAGAAATGATGCATTCTTGGAGGCCAGCCAGACAGAACACCATGTTGTCAGAGGATTAATTATGTGGTGACATAGCAGTGTTGCCTACCAACCGTGCTATTTCAGAAATTAAAACAGAACCTTAGTAGCAGACTATGGAGAAATTATGACTATGTTTATATGCTTAATTAAAACCAGCTAGACGTTAGGGCAGGGATCAGCAACGTTTTTGGGCAGGATGCCAGAAATACTCACAACCTCGACTTGTAAGATGTTGGAGTGCAAGGGGTGGATGGCAGGGGAGCCACAAGGGGCCAAATCCTAGTTGTGGCAGCACAGCCCTGGCCTCTTCCCACTGTCCACCCCGAGGCATATGTGCCAAGAAAAATGCCTTTGCGTGCCACATCCTGGCACACATGCTGGGAGCTGCTTACCCTTGTATTGGGAGAAGAAAGAAACTGCAACGTTACCTAAGCAGACTAGTCTAAATGTTCAACAGAAACCAGGAGCTCTTACAAGCCTTTATTTAACCAGATTGTAAGTATTGAGTATTGTTAGGTCTATATTTGAAAGCAATTGGCTTTCAAATGTTTACATTCACGTATAATGAATAGGGGTGAATACAGCTAAATATGCTTTAAGTATTGTAGCTGTCTGAAGACCTTAACTTTAATATTGCATCTTCTTTTTTTAGGTCAGTTGCAACTTTGAGCCTCACTTGAGGGGAAATGTGTATGTTCAGTACCAGTCGTAAGTGTCTTGAAATTTTATGAAGTTTGACAAGTAAACTCTAGATCATAAGCAGTGCAGTAATACATGTTTAACTTTGTCCTTTTACTGGGTTTGAAAAGGTTTAATCTTTATAGTTTCATTTCAGTTAAATTTGAATGTCAGTGGGCATGTCTGTATGTGAATATTAATGGGACATGCTAAACTCTGGCACAGTTTGTATCAGAGTTGTTGCTCTCAGGTGCAGCATTTACACAAGTGTCCGGGTCTGCAGCATGTTGAGCTAGGGAGGCACAGCCATGGCTGCCAAGGGGTCCGGGAAGTCAGCCTGCCAGCCTGGAGCTGCTCTTGCCTGGCTCAGCATGGTAAGGAGGGGCTGGCTGGGGCATGAGGGTGTTACATTGTGGGGCTAGCAAGCAGGCAGCCCTGCACTGTAGCGCCCATGTACCCCAGCCAGCCTTGGTTGCCGTCTACATGTCCATTTCAGTGCACTTAAGTAACTGCTGTAGAATAGCACTTGTGTTGGGCAGTACTATCTGTGGCAGAGTTAATTTGTTTACTCTGGCCTTTAGCACCGGTCATATAGACGGTGATGTTTTATTGTGGAGTTAATTAGGTAACTCCACAGTAATGGTCTTCTGTAGATGCACACCCACTTTGGCCATATTTAATCAAGGTGACTAATCCCCATATCCCCATATTTAATCAAGGTGACTAATCCCCATATTGTTAGAGCCCCAAATTGGTATGTAGCTTTAAAAGTTTAAAGGATTGTGTCTCAATGTTGCAAACTGTGGCTTTTTTTATCTTTAAAGAGAGAGAGACTGTCAGGAGGCCCTTACTTCATTCAATGGACGCTGGTATGCAGGACGACAGCTTCAATGTGAATTCTGTCCAGTGACAAGGTGGAAAACTGCTATCTGTGGTATGTTAGGATAACTGCTTATGGAAGTCTTTTATTCTTGAAAGGCTTATTACAGAACTGAAAGAATAAACATTGCTTCTAAATCTGCTGAGTATCTACTTAACATTGGAATAACAGTACCTTTTGGGGATAAAAAATGACAGACAAAGCAAACAATATCAGGAAATACGAGCTGAAGATATAAGTTGATACATTATCTAACAAACTGAGTGAGGGGCGGGATTTAGGAAATTGGCTATGTAATTCGGACCCAGCAACATTAATAATTAGGAATTATTGATGTTTGGTCAGTTTACAGTTTTACATCTCATTAAGCTATAACCTAGTTGGTCTTTTGAAAGGCTAAAGTTTTAAAATAAATGTTAGTTTTAGCTATAGTTTAGTCTTGCTGAAAAGTTTAAATACATACATAAAGTGGACTGTAAGCTGAATATGAGCCAACAGCAGGCCCTTGTTGATGGCTAGGGACAGACATTTAAAAAGCCTGAGCCTGAATTGATTCAATCTTTGCAGGTTAGCCTAACCTGGCTAGGTTGAACTGGTATGCAACTGTACAGACGTTTCCTCTGGACTGAGGAAATGCCGGCACATGCCTGCAGTGGCTCAGGCTAGAAGCTGGGGGTGCTAGAGCAGCCATCCCTTCCCTGTACAGTGCTGAGCTGAGGGGGAAGGGTGGCCAAGCCCTGGCAGGACGCTTTGATTAGAGGGGTGTGTAAATGCCAACCCTGCTCAGACTTTTCCCTGCTGGCTGCTCAAGGGGTGGGAGTGTTGCCAGACCCCAGCACTGGGCTACCATTCTGAGGCAAAGGAGGGGTGTATAGCGCATGCATCTGTTGATGATACTGAGCTTTTCAATCTCTCTCTCCCTGCTTTTTCAAACTGTCTGCACACCTGACAGGCAAGGGAGCCAGCAGGGGGCTGATAACACAGTGTTTATCAGCCCATCAACAAAACAAAAGCCTCTCTCATTAGTTCAGGCTCTTCTTAAACAGCTTTTTCCAAGGAAGGAAGGGAGGAACATTACCAGCTGACCTGTTGATTAGCTCCAAATAGCCTTAAGGGGACACTGCTTGTGCCAGTGAAATTGGAGACACGCACACACCTCCACATTAGCTAACATACCACGTGCCAGCTAGGGTCTGTGGGGCTGAGGTCCGTGCTGTGGGAGAGGGGAGGATCCCTGCTTGAGCAGTGAGAGGGGGGTGGGACAGAGGGAAGCCAGGCAGAACCTGCTGTGCCTGCAGTCCCCACTGGTGCTCTGGCTAGGGAACAGAGAGGCAGGGCCAGCCCTGTTCTCTGGAGCAGACAGCCCAGCCCAAGACTGCAAAGCATCTGGGATGCTGGAGGACTCTGGTTTAACTTAAACCAGGAAGGGGTCTGGGTCAGACGTTGCATAAACCTGTTTGATCCAAATTCATTGAGTCTGATACTACATTCAACCAGGTTTATCTTAAAACCAGTCTCAGCCATTTTAAAACCCTTATGTGCACTGAACATCTGTTCTGTTACAGGTTTAAACCAGTTTCTGATCACTTAAACCAGTGTGTAATGTCTGTCCCTAGCCAAAAAGGCTAACAGCATACCGAGCTGCATTAGTATAAGTGTTGGCAGCAAATCAGGTGAAGTGATTCTTCCCTTCTAGTCAGCACTGGTGAGGCCACATCTGGAATACTGTATCCAGTTTTGCCCCCCCCCCCCCCACACAAA